TCCAAAATTGTATTCATACTGTATACTTAATGAACACAAAGTTATGAAACTAATTAAAAGCCAATATCTTATGTAAGCAGAAGTATGAACTAAGTTAATATGCTATTAACTGCACTTCATGTTATACAGCAGCATATATATTTTATATGGTACATTTTGTTACACTGGCCAACAGGCTTAGGTTTCATTTGCATTAATTATAGTTGTATAATTCTATTTTATATTTTTTATCAACACTCTTTTAAGTTTCCTCAGCGCATGCATAGATGAAGCCACGTGTTGATCAATTTCAAGAATCGCGGTTTTTAGCGTAAAAAGCTTTCAAACATACTACTGAGCCATCGGGGGCAATCAAGTATATGATAATTTTCAAAATTTTATCTTCAGCATTTTGCTAAGTCTTTGGGCCCCACGTTTATATGAAACCATATGCTGATAAAAGCTAAAGTATCTTCTGAGAATAATTTTCAATATTTTATTTTACAATTTTTCGATAGATGGCAGCGTAATCTACTATTTACAAATGTATATTATCTAACGTTGAAATATTTATTCTATCGAATATTTACAAGCAAGATGTGCGATTAATGTCAGACGATTAGGTTAATGGTAGGTCAATCTTTCTCCTTATTTATATTTCATTGTACTTGTATCCTATTATTTATTGAGTTTAGAGTTACTTTAGATTCGTGTTCTTTACTAATAACCACCAGTGCCAAATTGATATAATTTTGGTGTGTAATTTCATAGTCTTGCATTAAACTTAGATGTTTAGCGATGTAGTTAGGCACTTTGATGTCACTATTAACTTCTTTCAGGCTGGAAATATTTTGATTTGTGTCATACTTATTCCTTAGATAAAATAAGTATATTAAAAATGTTTAGAATAAATGAATAAAATGTATTAAACTTTATTCAGTGTACTTTGCTTTTTTAATCAAAATCTTATTCTAATTATACTTTCTCTTGTTATTATAGAAATGCAATTTATTCTATAACCGTTCATAACTTAATATATATTTCTTACATTATCGTCTTTGTAATTCTAGGTAATAGTTTCTACGGTCTCACAATTCCTATTGATTTTATATATCGAGTTATCATTAATTTAGAAAGATAACCAAAGTTAAAAATGGTAGTTCTGGAAATTTTGTGGAGAAGATATTTTTCGTAGCACATTTGACCAATTAGTTTTTGCCAGAACTTTGAAGACTGTAACACCTTTCAGGGCCTGGCATTGCCAGGTGGTTTGGACGCTCGACTCGCAATCTGTGGGTCGTGGGTTCAAATCCCCCTCCCACCAAACGTGTTCGCCCTTTCAGCCGTGGGAGCGTTATATTGTGACGATGAATCCCACTATTCGTTGGTAAAAGAGTAGCCCAAGAGTTGGCGGAGGGTGGTGATGACTAGCTGCCTTCCCCCTAGTCTTCCACTGCTAAATTAGGGATGGCACTTGCTCCCCTCTGGAAAATGAGAAACATAATTATTTCTTTATTCATTCAGCATATGTATATGAATTTACTAGTTTTTTATTTATTCACTTCACAATTTCACACTACTTTGTTCTCCTGGAAAATTTTCTGCTGACGCCCATGATCGCATGCAAACGTACATAGTTTCCACTTCGATGCAACTCAGCAATAAAATAATGATATAATTTATTAACTATTTGAAAATTATTCAAAAATACTGCTTGAAAAGCTGGAATCAACAAATAAAACAATGTTTTCAGTGAAATTGTAGCTACAGTAACTGTTACAATAATAATAATGTTACATACATATATTACTGTGTCTCGTGTGTGATGTTTGTATGTGTGTGTATTTATCAGATTCGTTTATATACGTCATAAATATATTGTTACGTCTCCGTTCGCTAGTTAATTTTCCGTAACTTCGTTCCGACGAAACTTTAGCGACACAAGTCTTTT